AGTATATATTATTCTATTATTACTATTTCCCATTTAATAACCAAAGATCCACAATATTTTTTTGATGGGTGTGTTGGTTTTTAAGGGCGTGAAGAAAAAAATAACAAATAGATACTTCAAAGGGGGACGTAGTTATGAGATTATTTTTTTTAATAATAAAAATAGTGGCGCTTCTTGACTTCCATACCGGAAAAATTAGGTACAAAGCATTGAAAATAAAAATATAATTGAGTAGTTTTATTTTAAGTACTATTGAAATATAGGGAAAATGTACTCACCATTATTTTTTATAGTGAAAGTTCATTATTCTGCTTTTGTCCGAAATAAACTATTCAATTACATTTTCATTAAAGTTTGGTATTTTTCGCATCATTGATTTTTGCCAGTGCTACAGTCAATTTAAACATTTACATCACACCTCAGCAAATTACGTTTATTAAGAAAAAAGGCGGTGAATAGCTGTTATTTGGACTAAACAGAGACCAAGATTCATAGTAAATATACGTTACTCCCACACCGTCTTTCACTGCTGTGTGACGGAAACCATAACCACCGCTGTAAACACTTTACAGTTGTAGAGCTACGAGGAGCCCTCGTATTCAGAGTTTTGCAAACGACTTTTAGAAGTCGAATTAAACTTACTGCACATTACAAATTTAATATTTTCTATTTAATGTGTTTCATAAGACTAATATATTAATTATGTAGATAAGATTGTAAACTAAATTTTACATTAAATTTTTTTACTATGAAAATTTCTAGAGATTTCTAGATTTCTTTTTTCTTCTAACATGTTTATCTGAAAAATGCACCCGTATAAAATAACCAAAATAACCTAGGCGTTCGTGGCAATGTGATACCAATACACGTTAAGAAAAATTGGACTTATTTTCTCTCAATTTCACTCAATAATGTATCAATTTCTGTCCACACCCGATTGAGTGAAATTTTCCTCTATTAGTTTAAGTACGACTAGAATTTTTTACTACTGGAACTATCAGCTTTACTTCAAATTACTGTCTAAAATTAATAAAACAATTGTTACCTTTTTTGTAACAAAAATCCAATAAACATGCTTCAAGCTTCATTATGACACAATTTGAGTGTCTGTCAATGGAGCAGTTTATTGGGCATCTGTGATTAATTGTAAGAAAGTTTTGGGCATAAATTATTACCAAATCTTTTTAGTTAAAGAGTAGATCTTTTCGGATATAATCGTTCGAGGGAGAACATTAATATTGCACTTACGAGATATTATTTACACAAAAAATAACAATGTGACTGTTTAATGATCTGGCCAAACACGTAAATCGGCTACAGATTTAAACACATTTAATACATTTAATATATTTAATACAATATTACTATACTCTGTTTGGAAATGAAAGAGAGTAATAAAACCCCGAGATAAGAACCGGCATATTAGCACGTGGGCGTGACAGATAAATCCAGTCTTAGAGCTGAATATACGAAGACGTGCTAGTGCAGTAGAGTAAAATTCGACTTGTGTTTAGTGACTAAAGTACACTCATTTTATTTTAAAAAAGAAATACCAACACTAAACAAAATTTTAAGTGAACTTTCAGAGGACAACGATTTGCCAAAAATCAATAGAAGCAAATTATGGGCCGTCTTACGAGAGTTGAATTGTTGCTGGGAAAAGGAGAACAGGAAGTCAGTTCTTATCGATAAAGATGAAATTATTTGTTGGCGAAGATCCTACTTAAGATCAATTAGAAAATTCCGTGACGAAGGGAGGAATATTTATTATCTAGACGAAACTTGGGTCAACGAGGGATATACTGTAACAAAAGTATGGCAAGATAAAAATGTAAAAAGTTTTCGACAAGCATTTTTAGATGGACTTTCAACAGGGTTCAAGGCACTTTCTGGTAAAGGGCGAATATTAAAAGTGACACATATAGGTAGTGCCAGTGGTTTTGTAGATGGCGGTTTACTTTTATTTGAATCTAAAAATACAGGTGACTATCATGAAGATATGAACGCAGATGTTTTCGAAGAGTATTTTACACAGATGTTGGATCTTATTCCTCCCGGGGTCTGTAATTGTCATGGATAATACCATTCACGGCAGACCGAACGGACGCCTACGACTGCTTGGAGGAAAGCCGATATAATTCAATGGTTATCCGGAAAAAAACATTTCTTTTGAAACAAATATAGTGAAAAAGGAACTTTTGACATTTGTCAATCTTAATAAAGATCAGAAAAAATATGTTATCGCTGAAATGGCAACAAATCGCCAAATAACGGTACTACGAATCGAATTAGTCTGGGCGCAGGTAAAAGGAGATGTAGCGCGAAATAATACGACGTTTAAATTAAGTGATGTGAAAATTTTGTTAAAAAATTCTTTGGAACGAGTAACTGCAGATAACTGGCAAAGATGTATACATCATGTACAAAAAGAAGAGGAGAAAATGTTGGAACTCGATAATTTAATTGACGTTACTGTGGAACCTATCGTTATCAATCTAGGAGACGAAGATAATTCATCAGAATATTCAGAGAATGAATTTTAATATACCTACTTTTTTATTTTCTTTATTATACATTTATACAACACTACATTTACTCACCATAATTTGAATTTTCAAAATACATATATTTTTGTGTGGAATAAAAGTCTATTCATTAAATTTAAATAGATATTTTGATAATAATATTGAATAATTTTATTTGAATTACTAAAAACCCTCTTCACCAGGTTATGATGCTTAAAGTAGCCTCATGTTTTGAAATGCTGTTTTTATATTGTTTACTTATAAGAGAAATTGAAGCGGCATAGACAAAGACGGATTGTCGGGGATTAAATTTTAGCTACCTGCTACAATTTAGTATAGTCCGATCGCACGAAGACGGAAAATACATAATATAAAAATATTAAATATAAGCACCAGTACTACATTTATTTACGATTTGCATACATAATGAGCTTTTATTACTCTCTTTCATTTCTAAACAGAAATAGAATGTTTAGTTTTATTCTATAATAATGGATTTATTTATATTTTAAATGTATTTTATATGTGAACAGAAATGTTGTTTATATTTATATACAAAAACAGCAAATATTTCTTTAGTAGGTGTGGTAAATATGTGACGGAAATTAATACATAATAGTCCATATGATCACTTTCATTATTTTCAATGACTGTTACGAAAATCATCTTATTTACATTATAAACTATTAACACACTCGTAAATATGTCTAAAAGGTAATTATTACAACTATCACTTTCACAGACATCTAGAAGATGTTAGATTAGTCAATTATAAGACAATTAATATACCTTTTAATTCCACGGGGTGTTCCTTGTTCAAAGTTGACATAATTCTTTATAAGATATAATAACTTGAATATGTTTTTTAATTATCTCTAAACTAGTTCAATGCCTAATTTGAAATACATATATTTGGTTATCGGTAACTTATCTTTATACACAAAAAAATGTGTTACGCGAAAAATTTTTCGAGAACAGTCATTTTTACAAGTACATTACCAATACTCCCACATGCTACATAGTGACTTGAATTTTCCTTGAGAAAAAAAACTAACCAATATATTTGTATCAAGGTGGTTATAAAATACGTAAGTTTTACGCAACCAGTTTTCTTTTGATTCCCAGTCAATATGACGTGAATAAACAAAAATGTGTATCAAATTTGTTACTACAACAAAATGGAGGGTCATCAAAATATCCAGTTTGAGCGTTGCTCGTCTCCTGGCATCGGTGTTTAGCCATAGTGGCAGAAATAGGCCGACGTAAAATAACCAAAAAGCTAAAAGCCAAAAAATTTGACAATTTTTTTCGTTATTTTTATAAAGAAATAATATTATATAAAAGAAGGTAATTATTCTATGAGTACTAATAATTATTATGATTCGAAAAAATTCTTTTAATTTCTCTTTTTACCAAATTCATTCTTATCACAAGCGTTTGCAACTTTTTTATTTCTCAATACAATTAAATAATAAAAGTAATAAAAAAATGTCACAAATAATTAAATACAAATGAAGCCAGCGTGGTCATTATTATCTTCATTTACAGGTACACCGTGAACGAAGTCGCATGCAATATTTATTCAACTACCGAAAAATTAATGCCGTATAAATTAAATTATAATCTATTTTAGGTAGTAACGTGGAATAGTATTTGGTTTTACGAATGCAGTTCAGTAGAAACATATTTTTATTCAATTAAATTTTAAGTCTATGATTCATTTTAAATGAACGATTTTATTTAAATTTAAAATTCGTTTTACACGTATAATTAACTTTGCGGTTTAAACAAAAACAAAACAACTACTAATTAATTTTATCACTAGTTCCCAGACTTGTTTCAATTTAAATACGGTAAAGTACCTACAAATTTCTATAAAGCACTATAAGTTGTCAAAAAGAAAACAAAGCCATAGATAGATAGAGAGATAGATAGAACTATTAATTACGTTTTGAACCTGTAACATTAATATGCTCATCAAAAATACAAGCACAGTGAATAACTAAAGTACGTAGAAATATTTTAAGATGCGAATCTTGTCATATCAAGAAGTTTGTATGAACCAATAATACTTTAAATGGTTTAGTTCTTGATATTCAAGATATTAAATTTTCGTTATTCATCTACGTAAATATATCTAAAGATGTTTAACGAAGAGTGATAAAACTTAAACTAGTGAATTAATTAATTGTAAGTAAAAACTTACCGCAAAATTTCAATGTAGGTACTTATTAAATTAAATTTCTTTGGGACAGTTAATTTTCCAATTTCATTATTTCGCAAAATGAGCCAGTTTCGAGTTACTATTCTTACTTCTTACTATACAGTAGCCCTAATACTACTGAAAAAAGTGATTTCCTAACTCTAAGGAATCACCTTTTGAAATTTACGTACTTAAGTTAGACTTTGTATCAACACACCCCATACAAGTGTATCAACAGTTGCCAATTATATTATACTATAACCTTTTTTTAGGTTTTGGTATACGTGATGGATAAAATCGTATGGATGCTGTTAATAACCGCCTTAACGACACAAGCTTTACAAATTGCTGGTGTCATAAATGCTCCTAAGGGACTACAAGAAATTACATATACTCAGGTAAATATCACCCACCGATAATATAATTCCCTGTAAATTTGTTCAAAGGATTTAAAAAAAGTTTGACAGTATAGGCAATTTTATATCAAGTGCGATATATTTCGATATCAATTATGCACACTTTTATTCTCTAACTCCCCACCCCAAAAAATATAATTGGAAAAATAGGACAGGCATAATGTATGTTCTACATGCATCTACATCATCTACATAACAATGTCTCTTCCTTTTTCAGAAAAACTGGAAATTAAGTTCTTTTGGTTAGTATTTATATTATTTGCATTCCGATGTATCGTTTACAGTCACTGGCCCGTGACATTTCGGTTCTTGATGTTTAGGTATGAGTCGTTTCCAATGTCAAAGCCATTGATTCAGTTGGATTTATTTACACTTTTTTGGATTTTCATTGCTTCCTCAACTCGGCTAAAATTTGCCTTATAGTAAATCGATCTCGTAGCACGTCTTGGCAAAGTTTGACCCTATCTTTCTTGAAGTATCATACACTGTATTAATATTGTGCTTCCTTAAAGGGCAATCTAATTCATTGTATATCCTTACATATAGGTACTTAAATGTCTTAATATTTCTGTTAGTATTTCTATTTTCTTTGAGAACTGATCATAAGTGATATAATTCCTGTCGAAGTGTTCCGTTAGATAGTCCTTATGTTGACGATATTTTGTTCCTGACCCGAATGGTGACGTGGTTGGTTCCGTGTGCCTCAGTGTGATATCCAGTTTGCTTTTGACAAGGAGATCTAGGAACGAAAGAATACCACTTTGATCCAACTCCGTAGTAAAGCTGAGTTAAAGTCTGAGAGAGAGGAATGAATACACTATATTTTATTTAATCCTGTTGGCAAAATGTGCCCCTAGAATAAAAGGGTCAACTGTTTATCTAATGTGGATTTGAAATATTTCTAGTGTTCTTTGCAAACTCGTTAATAAATTTAAATATTGGTTGTTTTATCGTAACTGCTTAAGTATTAATCATTAGTAACAATAACAAAGAGCTGTTCAGTTTAAATCAATATCAGCAGTGGATATGTAAATGTTACGTAAACTTTTACTTACCTCGTTGAGAGAAATTCTGTTGAAAGTAGAATTTCTAATGTTAAGTATCTCTTACGGAAATTCTGACAGTATTACACAAACTTGTATGCACCCACTTACGAGTACATTATTTTAAGTGTACAGGAAACACATAACTTTTACCTAAATAATTTCACTTAAGTAAATTAAATTTTATGTTTATAAAATATTTGTAGTGTTAACAGTAAATTCTCAGAAATAAATGATAATGACAATAATTGACAAAGCAAAATATGATAAATATGGGATGCCCCTTAATTTAACATCTTGCTTAACAAGAGATTAAATGGACTAAAAGTCAATTTTGACTCCTTACGAAGATACACCTCAAAAAGGCTGTGACTATTATTTAGGACATTAATTAACATATGCATTTAATAAAGTGAGTTACATTTTAAATATGTAATGAGATTGATTTCTATATTTTATTTTGTAATTTGTTACAGTTCAGTGTTTAAAAAACATTTGAAATTTCTTCTTGAAAATCATATAGTTTATCAAAATTAATCATTCAATGACAATAACGTTTTTTCATTCATAATCACACTTTCTACAATGTCACTACAGACCGTAGACAAAAAAAGAACAAACTATTTTTAACAGATGTCTATGAAAACACTTCTGTAATATATATTTTAGTGACTGGGACTACGAATCACCAATAATAAAAATATACCAAATTAGGTCAAAGTGTCTGCAACTGGTTTGGTCTTCTTCAAGATGGTATATCTTCTTAAGAAGTCAAGTCACACCTAGTTCATTTCGGCCAAGAAATATTTACATTTGGACATATTTAATTCGAATAGAAATTCATTTAATATAAATTATTGTGGGAAAATGATTACAAATTTTGAAAATTTGAGTGAGTTGTTTAAAAGTAAGTAAATATAAGTATACAGTTACACTTACCAATACCAAAACTTATAAGAAGTATAAATTCCCTTTTAAATTCAGATATTACAGAGAGCATGTTGTGTGTTTCATCTTATGAGCCAACTCTGCAGATATTTCTGAATAACGTTTTAGAAAAATTCCTAACAAATAGTAAACCTTTTCATTAAACCAAAATAATTGATAAAACTGACGAACTTATTTCTTTGCTTAAATCATACAAACGGATCTCCATATACTATAAAATAAAGAGCGTCCTATTAAAAAAAATGTCGGTAATGTTATAGGTCTGTTACAGCTCAAAAAAAAAATAGAAAATATTGCAGAAAAGTGACAATTTCTATTTACTAATTGACCTGTACCAGCGATTTTTTAAAATCTGCAATGGAAAAAAATGTTAATTTTGAAACACAGTGTATATGTTGGTATCTAGACATTTTATATACAATTGTGGATGGTGAAAACTTAAACATGCTAGTATTAGTTTCAGATCAGAATTTAATTTCATGGAAATGTTGTACTGTCGTTACTAGGAACCAAGGAAAATATTTACGTTGTTAAGTGTCTTCAAAACAGTATTTGGTTTTCTTAAAATTTCATATAAACATGTTTTTATCAGTGGCTACTAACCAACAATTAATAACGTTCAATTCTCTTGAAAATAACCAGTCAACTTCCTGCTTATTTGAACTTAAAATGTCACTAACCGTTTAAAAATGCATACTAATTGGCGTTTTTATATATTAAAAATTTATTTGTTTATTTAAAAAATAACCCAATGTTAAACGTTACTGATTCAAAAATAATATTTTAGAGAGCTGACTGGTTTCTTACAAGTTTACATTGAATTGTTATCCTAAAATGTTTTTCGAATAGCGAAAAATATTCTGCAATATTTTACCGTGGCAAATATTTTTTTAGTTATTTCATAAATATTTGTCGTCCATAACTATGGTCATAAATTTGACCGTTCTTGAAACAAGTTAACTGAATCTAATAAAAACAATAGGTGGATAAAACATTTCCACCTAAATTTTAACACAATGCTCATTAATTAGTGCATTATTTTTAATATTTTAAGAGTTTTTAAGAAAGAAGCAATACCATTTCTATTCATTCAAATCTAGGGTATTTTTCAGTTAAAAACAGGTTTTAAGTAGTGTTTTGAATATTTCTTTTAACATCAAATATCAATTATACTATGTATGTCATTGTGTTTACCTAAAGAGTAATAATAAATTTGAAATACTTCATTGAATAACTGTTGCGTACTTCATTGATCTGTGTTGCTAATAAAATGTTATAATCAATGAATCAATACATTACATATAATGTTACATTGAGAATAATTGAAGATTAAGATGGAATAATTATGGCTGTTCCAAATTCGCTTCTCACTACAGGGATCTCGAAACCGGTAAGAGATACGAACTAGCTTAAATGAGGTCGAAGTTGTGTAATCAGGGTACCAACATTATGCCTCTAAAAAATCAAGACTAACATGAATATTTGAAATAAACTGAAATTTTGGAAATCCGTTTTTGTTTCATTTCAGCCTTGTTTGAGGTGATATTGAAAAAAGAAAAACACTTTCTCATGGCAACTTTTTGCCCTTTATCGATTGTCACAATCAATTTTTATATGTACCGTTCCGTCTCTCCAGGACAATTCAAACAAATTCCGATCTCATTTTTTTCAGGATATTCATAGAAATACATCTGACATGCTCTTTCACAGTTGCGGTTACAGGTATAATAAATTTCGATGATATTACGCAGACCTTCATTTTCAACCTTTGCCAAAACGGAAATGTTTTTGAACATTGAATTAAATTTTTTAAAGTATAATATTTATTTGGCGTTTTGGTTGTTCATATGCATTTTTAAGAATTAATTTGTTATAATAAAATTAAAATTGTAATAATGTTTTAATTTTGACGCAACAACTTATCTACTTATGTATGACTTACGTATCGACTTATGTATGATGGTAATAGTTAATAATAATAAATGTTTTATTGTAATGCGTGGTGGTAATATTTAAATAACTAGATGGATTTCACACGGTCTAACGACACTTACAATGTGCGATAATTCAATAAACATAGAAATCCAAATAAAAAATTTAGATAAATTTGGAACGAATACACTGAAGATGAATTTTTCGAGAAAAAATGTCTGAATCTGGTTCTGGCTGATGCAGTACAGTATTGGAGGTCGTGAAGGCTTGCAAAAAATGTATTAAAATTTACAGGGCCGTATTTAAAAAAACGAAGTTGATGTTGGTCCTGGGAAAACGAAAAGTTGTAAAAAGTAAAAATTGATAATGCCATTCTATAGAGGGGAAAAAGTTGCATGAGAAAGTGTTCTTCTTTTTTTAATATAGCCTCAAACAAGGCTGATATGAAACAAAATCGGATTTCCAAAATTTCGTTTTTTTTTTAAATACCCATTTCCAAAAGTAATCGTGTTAACCTCGTATGTCTTACCGTTTTCGAGATTCCTGTAGTGAGAAACGAATTTGTAACAGCCTGTATGCATTTTAACAATTATATTGTTTACACAACTACAACAAAATTATTGTGAGAGGGTTCTAGATGATAACAGTAATCCTTTGACATTTTTTTAAATTTGAATTTTCGGTTAGCAGATTCTCATAGGCAAATCAAAAGTTGCCACTAAAGATCAAATTCCATTTAAAATTGTATTATTTATTTCAAATATTCTACTTACTGCTAATAGACTGATATCAAATTGACCAATGAGATATGGTGTCATGAAAAAATTTTATTCAAAAAACAACTTGCAAGATTAGGTACGTAAAGATAAACCACGGTAATAAGGACACCACAGTAATATTAAATAAATAGCATTTGCCAAATCAGGCCGATTAAAACTAAACATAAGTACTACAAGTCTTCAAGACACAGATTTTAATTATAATAACTCCAAATATTTTTTTCTCAAAATCTGAAATATTTTTAATGATGCCATTATATTCCACAAGTTCTTTGTATAACATGTTAATCACCCTATATAATTTGAATATTTCAGTTACACTCTGTTTGTACGTCCTCTGGTAGTTAATAAATTATTGTTCGAAATTGTTTCTATATTATTAGCTTCAATGTATTAACATATTGATTTTAGTATATGCCTATTATATTTTTTAGGACAATGAGTATAATTATCAACTTGCTGTTGAAGAAGCTGACACTAGAGGAAAACGTGAAACACAAGAAAGGTCACAAATCATAGACAGCCTTTTTAATGTGAGTATTAGAACAATACAAGTATATATCAAATATAATACTTGCAACTTTTATAAATGCCTATTTAATAACTACATGTTGCACTGGTATCGTTTTTACTGATTTTAAATTAAATAAACTTTCAACTAAATTCGCATAATCCCATATCTCTCTATATCTCTATGTATCAGAATTTTGTATCCAGATTACAGTTTCAAATGTAATGTAATAACAAAAATTCGTTGGTGTAGTAATTCGGCATTTTTTGGGACTTTTGAGGAATACATGGTTTTTATAACATTATTTCAAATAAAAATCTTCCTAGTTATTTTTTAAACAAAAATATTGGAAAAAGTAACGCTATTGATGGATTTACATACCAATTTAGTAAAGTTTTATATTAGTTAAATTTGCATCAAACCATATTAGATATCAAACCATATCCAACATCTACAGATGTTTGAACACATGTAATATTTTTTTAGAACTTCTATATCTCGAAAAACAGTAGTTTTAGATCCTTGAGCTTTAAGGGCCTTTGGTCTAATATGATTCAAAGAACAATATCTATGACATGGACTTGTAAAAAATGGTGTAGTTTACATTTTCAGTAACAAACTTTTAATTTAGACATTGCCTTGTATCTGTCTATCTGTCTATGCATCTAAAAGTTATAATTGTATCAGAATGAAATAAATAAACCAAATAAACCTTGTCTTTTTATGTCAAGGTTTCTGTTTCATCAAAAAATCTATAAATTAACAAGTACTCTTCTAGAATAAATATACTAATTTTGCATGGATTGAAAAAAGTTCCTGTTGTTGGGAATTCCTCTTGGTGTCGATACGATTAGAAGTTGAGCAACTGTGCGACTGATAAAAAAATATCTATTATAAAACACAGTACCTATACGAGGTCTGTTCAGAAAATAAGCGAACTTTATTTTCCACTTCGCGAAGCAGTTCTGGATGGTTTCATTTGAAATACACTTTAAAGTATGTGACTAGTTTACTTTGATGTCATTAATAGTCTGAAAACGGTGTTGCATTTAAATGCCGCATAAAGTCAAAACTGATCAAAATAGACAGTAAACCGTTTCTGCTTTATAACAACTGACATTATTAATTGTCAATTGTGTCTTCAAAGCAAACAACATTTATCTTTCACTCTTTGTTGTCCTGCATTGTTATAATAAAGTATGATTAAAAATTAGGTCTGACCACAGCAAAAAAAAAAGAAAACTATAGTGTACAAAATGTTTGAAAAATTAGGAATGGAAAATAAAATATTAAGTCGCAAAGAAATTATATGACCAAAATTTTTTATTATGCTTATATGTCAAAGAAATGTAAGAATATATTTAGCAAAATTAGAAATATTCCAAAACTATACCTCTTGTTCATGTTTCCCATTTTAAAAATTATGCACTTTCATTTTTCCTGAAAAAATTATTGCTTTTACAAGTGAATAATTTTAGATGGTAAACATGAACTAGAGCGATTGAAACGATTTCAAAATTTTTCATAAACTTTTTTTTACACAGAAAGCGTTTGGTCAAGGCGATTACATCTTCAGGATAGATCATTCTAAAGTAATAACGGCAAAAATATAAAAGAGTAAGTTGAGAACTTAATTGGCTTTAATCATTTAGCAATTTAAACCTGCTCGTTATTTCATAAAAGAATCATAAATTAAAAAATATATCATTTCATATTTTAAGTTTTACCGAAAATTACATAAAACAACTAATTACTTTTTGTAATGTTTTGTATTTATTATATTTTACTGTTTTTACAGTGTTTTCTGTAATTTTCAAAATTATATTCATTTTGTTATTAATTGAGTCTATAAGAAAATCCATCTGCCGTCATTCAATGAATACCATATAGATATTAGTTTTACTACACACATACATAACATTTCATGCGTATTTGATGAATTTATTTTTTTTTACCTCAAACAAAGTATACCTATTTACAATTATTTAATAATATTACTTAAATATACCCAAATATATAATGTCTAAGTTTCCAATTTGTTTTAAATTATAAGTAGCAATTTCATATTTACTCGATTGTTTCATTAAAATGTTAAAAGTTAGGTAGATGTATCAGCAATTACAACAATAGTATTCATTTTCCTTATCCTAATTTAAATCTGTATCGAGTAATGAAATTTGACATAAATAAAACAGTTTCACCAAGCTATTGAGACTATGTTTTAGGTAAAAACATTCATTTTCATGCGAATAAATAAAAATAAAATTCATATTGAACGTTTATATTGATTTACAGATACCAATTCAGACTCTAAATGCTGTAAATAATTTGGTGCAGAATTCTAGACCAGCACTACGAGGTATAAGGGACTATGCCGTTAGGAGATTCACGAAATCCGGTAGATCCACAACTGTTGGTACTACCACAACAACTACTACAGAGCAGCCAGAATCAAACGTGTACAAACGGTCATATCCTGTTTATATCAGACCCAAGGAGGACGAAGATAAATATAAACTGTAGCTTTTGAATAAGAATTCTAATGACTGCTTAGAAATTATTTGGTGAATACATCGGTGAAGTTTATGTTAAAACTATTGTATGTATTATTTAAGTATAATTTCGTGTACCTATATAGTTTAAGATGTAACCTATGTGCTGTACAAAGAGAATTTTTAGAAACTGATATATTCGTAAGTTTTTATTTTTAGATCAAATATGTCCCTTAAAAGTTTTTATTATGTTGCCAGTGTAAAAATGAATTTTTTAAACATTCCATTTTTAATTCAATAACTTTCTATTGTACTGGGAATAGTAATTTTTTTAATATTTGTTTTTTTATGTAATAGACTGATAATATATACCTATGTATAATATAAAGGGTTTAGTTGTTTGTTTATCACAAACAGATAAATCTGGTGTGTAAAAGTTATAACTAAAAGGTTAGGTTAGGGTTGCAAAATACTTGTTATAGACTGAACTGTGTGACTGTTATCTAGTATATAAAAATAAATGTTTATTTTTTACACGTGATGATGTTTGATTTAGTCTTTAGTAGTACCCAGAAATGTTAAGATATATTATAAGTAAAAAAGTGCTACAAACAAAAAAAATATAATTTTCACATTCAAAAATATACAAACTGGTCCCAAAATGCTTCCCGAAATTTTTTCCATTTAAAAGGGGACGGTAGGTATTATACAGGCTGTTACAAATTCGCTTCTCACTACAGGGATCTCGGAAACAGTAAGAGCTATGAAGAAGCTTAAGTTGCGTAATACCAATATTATTAGTTTTCGAAATATTTGAAAAAAACCGAAATTTTGGAAATCCGTTTTTATTTAATTTCAGCCTTATTTGAGGTGATATTGAAAAAAGAAGAACACTTTCTCATGGTCACTTTTTGCCCTCTATCGAATGTCATTATCAATTTTTATATGTAACGTTTCGTCTCTCCAGGACCATCATCAACTTCATTTTTTTAACCCTTTGTTCCCTGAAAACTTTTTCATTAAAAAATTGAGGTAAAAGTTAAAGAATGTTACTTTATTGTGTTTCTAAAAGGTAAAAAATTTAAAAATATATANCGTGATGATGTTTGATTTAGTCTTTAGTAGTACCCAGAAATGTTAAGATATATTATAAGTATAAAAAGTACTACAAACAAAATAATAATAATTTTCACATTCAAAAATATACAAACTGGTCCCAAATTGCTTCCCGATTTTTTCCATTTAAAACGGGATGGTAGGTATTATATATTTTAAGGCATCTTCGAGATATTTATGTTGTTTATTTCTTAATTAATTTAATAAATAAGTAACATTAAATGTATTTCAAAATAATTCGTCAAATTTTAATAAAGGATTCTGTGTCTTAAATCAACAAAAAAGGTTCCTATAAACTTATGTCCGGAAATGCTTCATTTTTATGTTCAAATTTTAGCAAAAAAATATTTCTTTATATTAAGAAAAACTGTTGGAACAATTTCATTCAAATTTGGATTGTCTGCCAAAGTTTGTGCATGTCATAGGTTTGTTACATACTGAGATGTAATAATTTTCTTTCGCAAGTTTCCTTTTTATCAAATTATTTCAAATTTCTCCCACTTTTATGAAATATTAAAGGCTTTCCAAAAACGGTTCCTTACTGTATGTTATGTTAATAATAAAATGTTAGAAGTACCACGTTTAACTGGTTGCATACTTGCTTTGCTTGCATGCTTGCTTTTAATTTATTTAATTTCTCTTCCACATTGCTTCAAGCTAAAACTCAATGGTATTTTTGTTTGACAGAAGAAAATATAAAAGGGACTTATATTATGTTTTAAAAAAGATAGGGTAATATTAAAAAATCTCCGAGACACATTAATTTTATTTGTATACGGATCTTTTTACAAAAATTAATATCGTGTTCAACCCCCTTCTTATAATTCCCACTCCTAAATTTTAAAAGCGAAAAATATACAAATAAGAATTTGCTAAAAAGGTATGTTAATCCTATACTTCTAAAAATCTGTCTAAATGAGAAATAAATCTATTCAAATTAACTAGAAATTGTATGTATATAAAATAATGCTAATCAACTTTTATGCAATGCTGCAGTAATTTTTGAAACTTCTTCAATTTTTGATAACCGACATGTTTCTGAAAACATAACTATTTTACTGAAAAATGGTAAAAACCACTTTGAGCAACACATACGCAAGTTTTAACTTTTTGATTCTTTTTAACTTACCTAGAAGAAAAATTAAGTCCTAGAAAGACATGCAATAAATGAAATTCTCAAAATGTCGAGGTGAAACTATGCGCTTTGACTTAAAACCCAAAATAAAAGGCAGTAGCCAAGAGGAAGCTTCACACAGAACGAATTACATTTCTATCAGGACTTCTGAGAAATAAGTAATGACCAGATTGTATATACCTAAAATTAGTTCTTCTAAACAAAGTAAACATTTTGTCCTTATCTCTCGTATTACTGGGATGTTACCTCACGACAGACAATTTTGTAAAATGTTATAGTAAGCTATTTGATAGAAAAGAGATATGTAAATAAACAAAACGGTCACTATTATTTTAATCGTGAACATCAGTAATTACTACTAATTCAAATTAATACAGCTAATTTTACTGACGTCTAGTAGTCATCGCCAGTACAACAACAATGGTGATAAAAATAAAGTTTTGAGCAAAAGAAAAACAACATGAATGGATTGAATGATAGGAAAATAAAGTAAAAATGCAAAAAATGACGAAGTCAGTTCAAAATAAAGAGATTTCTGATGTGAAACTGGCTACAACTTGCGAATGTTTCAACTACAATTTTCTTGAAAAATTATGTCATATTATTTATTACCTATTATTACTTATGAGCTATTATTTCTAATTGTTTACCTCCTATTATTTTCTCATTTAGATATGTAATGATTTATCCAAGATGCCATTTTTTTCACACTGCTAAAAATCTTTCACTTTTCACAATTTTGAGAAAAATTGTCGGTCAAAAAGATACCTATATCAAAATTAGGTATTCCCTAAAAAATAATTGCCTAAATTATAAGATCCTCGAGGTAATTTCTGAAAAATTAAATTACATAACTCATCCTACTATCGGAAAGGCATTTATGATAATTTCCCTCCACAGTAATTTCTTACGTAACTTTTTTTGGTATTGCCAATATGTTTGGTCAGTTGACTTATTTGAAACAATTTCCATTTCCGATTTTCTTTGTAAATGTAATAAGGAAACTAAAGTAAGTCACCAAATTGGGGACGTTTCATATCGATGACATGATTACCATGTCACAAGGCTGTACTTGCCATTTAATTACATAGTTTAAGTTTTTGAGTATTTTGTTTCGAACTGTGAATACTTTATATGGTGATTAAAATACATGAACAACAGTAAATGTTGTAAAATGCGGTTACATGATATACTCCAGGACGTTCCAAGTGTTTCCTTCGATGAGTCATTATTATTAACATGTCTGTTGTGACAATGACAAATGACTAAACTGGTAAAGTTTCGCCCCCATCCCAAAAACAGCATGAGACACATTGCAATAGTTCTGTTGCAAAAATTTACATATTGTATGATTTTTTTTGTTAGGTACTGTATAGTATGAAATATTTACGGCATGTTCATTCAACTGTAAATAAAAATAAAATTTATGAATTTATTTATTTATTTATTTATATTGATATGTTCATAAATTATTTTTTGAACAATTGTAGTTACGGTCTTTGTCTATCTTAATTTAACTTTAACGTAATTTATTTTTAGTTTCTGAACTATCCCATTTCCAAAAAAAATAAGAGAAGAGATCAAGTTTGTTTCAAATAAATCAAAATATCTAAGATTTTTAAATAATTGATAAATTACTTGCAGGTGTAGTGTTACTTCTACACTTTGCGACCGAAGAGGAAGATTAGATTAGAAGAGAAATTATCCAGTAAATGTCACGAAAACTATACCTACATACATTCATATATTCTGTATATTTAAGCAAAAAATAAAAACTAAATTTTTCTCTCCCATTTGAAGAGATAAATCCGCAGGGATCTGCGAAAATATTTTTTCACATAAAAGCTCTTTCCCTTTAATTTTCAATGAGGAATCACCTGATGATTAATATTAAAAATTTAATTAAAAACGGTACACAAATTGTCCACCACTAGCATATAGCATAAAAGATGAAGAGGAAAACAGTTTTTTAAATCCATTTTCCCTGGCCTTTAAAATATATATATATATATATATATATTGTCATGACTGCCAGACATTACAATAACGACTTCTTTGTNATACACAAGGATTCTGTAGTTATTAGAAAGGTCAAATAATATGAGAAAATAAAAAAATATTTTGAAGTATAAGACAAAATTGAATGTAAAGAAAGTAGAATAGGGTGTATAAGTGAATAAGAGAAAGTGAAGTGAAGTGAATTATAAGAGGAAAAGGACACGTTCAAAGATATGTGGAAAGGCCTTTAAAAAAAAAAAAAGAAAAATCAAGATAGTAAGAAAAGAAAAGGATTTATTGATTAGTTACGAAAGGAATTTTGAAAACGACAGTTGTTAAAAGTAGGAAAAGAAATCCGAGAGAAATATAAGCAGTTAAGAAGCGAGAAAAGGGAAAAAGACTCAAATAGGAGAAAGCGAGAAATTAAAAATACCAGTTGGAAAAATAAGGTATCTAAGAAATTCGAGACAAGCGAATCATCCACAAACAAGGTCCAGGAAGACATAAAGAACGCTGAATAACAGTAGCAGGTTCCAGAGACCAGTAGGAAAATCAGGGAAACGGAAGATCAGTAGCAGTATCCAGGAGAGCAGTAAGGAAATCGTATATCAGTGGCAGAGGAAAGAATCAATAAAACAAAGGAAAGGAGAGAAATCAGTCGACACATCTTTATCGATTATACGTATAAAAAGGTACCTTTTATAATAAAAACAAAAGTCGTATACGAAATATAATACAGAATTGCAAAAGTAAAAAAANCAAATTTATTTAATCATTTCATATATACTTAAAACTGGCCAATTCTTTGTAGAATTAAATATTAATATTAGAGAAAATTAATAAGTATTAAATAAGAAGTTATAAGATAAAGCGACAGTGTCTTAAGGTATGCAACCAGTATTACATGAAATTTAATTTAACGATATTATCAATATAACCTCTTGTATAAGGCTTTATAAACATTGTGAAATACTTCAAAATATATTGACTAGTGTGTTTAAGAGTTTAGAGTGACAAATTTTGACATATATAGAACAAAAAAATTAATAAATTCATTTATTACTAAACCTTTTGTTTTTATAGCTGTGATTGGTGTGGTTTCTTGCTAAAACATAGAACCGACTACGGAGATAGAGTCTAGAGCTAGATAGGGCGAAGATATACAATACACAATACACCAATCCAACCAAATTAATATCAAAACAAACAAATTTTATTTTGGCGCTAACATATAAAATCATACACACATATAATCATAACAATATATATACAGTGTGTTTCAATTAAAACTTTCCACCTGGAAAATATTATAATTAAAAAAAAAACAAAAAAAAACTGACGTCTATCTTCTTTTCAAGGAGGACACGTGATGGTGTAAAACACCCTTAAACTTTAAATGGCACCCTATGTTGGGTGACACTTTATTATAAAGCTTTTTCAATTCTGCTCACGACGACATATACCTATGACTTGTTAAATTTTGGTTTGGATATGACAATAAAATCATCACTTAAACAATAAAACAGAATATGAATTGATGAAAAAATGTAATTTTATTAAGTGTTTAATTTGGTTTCCCTCCGCTTTCATACAATAATAAAATTTTCACTCCACTTCCGAACGAACATTTCGAAGCATTTCGGGCGTTATCTGAAGATATTCTTCAATAATTTCCCGATAAAAAAATTTGTTTTGATTTTTCGTTTATCTGCCAAAACAAAAACTTTATACTCTATCAGTTCAAGTTCATACCATCTCATAGGGCCTTTCTTCCTACCAGGAAATCTGCATGAAAACATGTATCTGAATCTACTGGAAACGAATATATGTTCGATGATTGTGAAGATTTTTTTTCCGATATTTTCCAGGTGGGAAGATTTAATTGAAACACCCTGTATATATCTAATCCTCTTACAATTTTCACTGTTGCAATTTTCATTCTTAAAACGAATAATTACAACTAAATATGGACGGCGTATATACGAACACCTGTAAATTATTAAAAACTTAGAAGCTTTATGATTATGTGCATTAATTTTTGACCTTCACTCATCCGTCCGCTTGTCTAACCAGGTATAGTGAACATCTACAACTGGCTATATATACGTTACTTGGACAATTACCCCGTAGTTTGGGTTTTGTCTTGGACTAGATAGTTTTGGCTTAGTGGTGATATAGCAAAGTTTAATCTGTGAGGGTATGTACCTAGTCTCTTATTTACACAAAGTTCATTAAGGTCATTAAAGTCCTTTTACAAAGCGATCTAAAATTCTGAGGAAAAGAAAAGCTTCAGTAAATAAATCAAAATCATAAATTATAATTACATATTTACATACAGGGTGTATATTTAGTACAAAGTTTTTCTATATGTCTGCGAGTACCTACCTATTATATAGAAATGAGGCTTTAGGCCATAAAATTTTTAAAAATATTAATACATTAAATTAATACATGCTTTTTTAAACATAATTTATTTATATTTTCAAATAATTAAAACTTAGGCGACGTTTCTTCGAAAAAATATTTACAATTTTATGTTTATTGCTTCAGTACCAAATTTTAGAGAAATTCGTCAACAGTATACAAAGGATTTGAAGGACTGAAGTATTTTAAAAACTTTTGAATAGCAGCTTGTTTTAGCACAGTGTGAGATTATGACTCTATCTTCCAGAATTATAGTAAATTCAAGTAGGTATATCGTGCAGTTATACTTGATTAATTTTACTTCCGGAGTTTTTTTAGTTTTTAGAAATTTTGTCGTAAAACTAGCCAATACTAATTTACGATTGGAAAAAATATAAATTACATTATAAATAAATAATTAAAGTTTCACACAATGAAATATTAATTCAATTAATTGATTGTCGCATAATTTACAGTTTTCTTAATTTATAAATTCAGCAAAATATTGTAGGTATATAATATAACATACTGTCAATAATAATTATTCATTTGTGAAACTTTTTAGTACTTTTTTTTATTTAAATGGCTATTTATTTTGCCATACTGAAGAAAAAAGGGTAATTTATTTAATATTTTTTTAATATTTTTAAATATCTCTTCTAATAAACATATAATATATATTTTTATATTAGAAGCAAAACTAAATTTGTCTTCAAATGTATTATTACTACGTTTCTCAAATGTAAACACAAATGCTATTGTCATTATATTGCTACTTAATGCAACCACTGCAATATTTTAAAAAAAATTACAAAAAAATTAGCTGAATTTTGTCAAAATGTATGGATAAGAGATATGACAACATTAAAACGCCTTACTGGGTTAACCTAAAATTATTATGTATTCACGTTTAAAAAATATTTAGGTATGGATAACTGCACATAAACTATAAATTTAAGAAAAAATTAAATTTTACTAAATTTTGTAAAACGCATCAACGCAGTTTTGGGAAGAAATGTAATGTAGATTTTCACCCTATTTTACATTCTCCACACATAAAAAAATTAATAATATTGACAGGTTAGATATTATGTACTTAAAAATTTAAATTTATGATTTTATAAATATCAAGATGTTCGTGTCATTTTCTAAATTCTAATTTAGATTTTCAAGAAAGTTCTGAGAAAGTTCCGAATGCATATGTATGTATAAACAATATTCTCCGAAAGTTGTAATTTAAATTTTGTCTTGACTTTTGACGTAGTGAATTGGATTTTTATATAAAGTTATGTTTTCAGCAATTTTAGCAAATACCCTTTTTGAATTTTGAGTTTAAAAAAGGCGCTATGCGTTTAGAAAATAAAGGACAATAGATTTTTGATGTTCTATCAGCTTTTGAATATATTTAGGTACATATGGTAAAACCGACATTCTTCACATCAGTCGTGTAATTTGCATCATTACCGTCAAGCCATTAAGAGTCACATTAATGCAATATTATATTATTCCGCTAATGATTTCGCTGAATGACTCGTGTATTATTAAGTGATACGTAAAATATTGATGAAAAAATTGTTTATCCATTTCCTAGTATGCCATTACAATTATAGTAAAGAGAAATTTGTAGGAAGTATCAACGTTGAATTAATTCTAGCTATTATGAGAAATTAAAATTGTGCGATGGTACATCATGAGAAACAGTCAAGATGTATGCAATTTTGGGAACACGTACATTTCATAAGGTACTAGGTAATTATTTCTCAATTGTGACATAAGACTTTCTCCTGTTCCTCGTATTTTAAAACAAGCGAATTCATCACTTTAGTAAACTAAAAGTCACTGTGTGTGTCAAAGAACTTTCATATGTATGTACTAAAACTGACAAACAAAGCATTTAAAGTCCTATTACTTAATAAACGTTTTTGGAAAAGTTCTTCATTAGCTAAGTCAAAGTGGAAAGTATTGCAGCTGTATTTTATTTTTATTACAGTGCATGAATTATTAAAGCTACTGTACTAATAAAACAATTATTATTGATCGTTTTAGCACTTGTGTCATAATTATAGTTCAACTACACTTTATTGGGAAGCTACTAGGCAGTTATTAAAAAATAAAAATACTATCTACCATATTGAAAAGTCGTGAAGGGTAAGTGTACTCATCGCGTATATATTTTACTAAGATAAAAAAATGTGTTGGAAAATTGGAACTACTTGTCTAAATTCAAGATTAATAAAGTTAGACATAAATTAAAACCCAGGTGCTTTACACTAGAGATAGAATTACGTAAATATAAAAATAAGCGATTTCTTTAAAATTTTTATAGTTTATACAGGGTGATCTCAAATAATGTGCAAAAAACTTGGGTGCTGCTTACAAAAATAATAGCACAGTTCCTATGTACCTTTCTTGAAAATTCAGTACTAATATAGTTTTTTAAATTTGGTAGACTTAGTACATATTGGTAATCAACTACATTTGTGAATGAAAAATCGTAAAAATTCTAAAACTCTAAACAGCTTTAATTTCTTATCCTTTGCAATTAGAAAATTGGTTGAATCTGTTTTTCTATTTATTTTATTTCCAATTTGTTGAAATGTAGATGAGGAGTCCACATTTTTAAGCCTACCCTTTCAAAATTTCATTTTCTCTAAAAGATTGTGTTCTATACGTATATAATTTACTAAATACTGATATTCAAATATCATTCTTTTTAAAAATAGATTGAAACTCTTAAAATGCAGAAATATATTAATTAGTGTATCATGGCTGAATTTCGTATTGATCTGTCATATTTTTGAACAATAGGAGTTAACTTAAGTTACTTAATAATTTCAATGTGCCAGATATGTGATTTTCATTATTACAATCTGAATAAAGTATTTTTAGATAATTATTTCCTTTCTTGTTACCGAGTTGTTCCTATGGCATATCTAGATATTTCATACAAAAAATATGTAATTGCTGATAAGAATTTCGGAGATTTTTTTAAATCTGTTAGCATAATACGTTTACATTAACGTAAAAGAACAGCTAATAACAATAAAGAAATCTGAAGAGTAAATGGTTCATTATAGTTATACAGGGCATCTCATAATTAGACTAATAAAATTGATCAATATTTTCTGTTGTATCACCGAATTTAAAAATTTTATTGATTTTTATGAGCATCTCATTAAAATGAATAGGCTAATCCTAATTAACTTCACTACTATATTCTAAGTTCAAAAATAAAATGTTTGACCGGTTTATTATGGGAAAACCTCTATAAATTTCAGTAAAGAAACTACTGTGATAACTAATAGTAGCTTGCTGTTTGGAATACAATCAATGGAACAAAATACAAATATTGGTCCAAATTATTTGTTTATTTTCACAATATTTGGCTTCTTTGCTTCTCAATTTCTTCTGCTTTATATAGATTTGTTCAATAAAATGTAGCACCAAATTCTAATTTTTACAGATAGGGAAATCGATTACAGTTTGAAAAATATTCTAAGCATACGCAGGAATAAATTTTTGCAGTGTTAATAAAAGTTTAATTATATGAATATTAGCCTACTTTATTGCCTATATGAAAGGTCATAAAAGGGAGGACAGAGGAAATGGGTTATTAACTTGCTCATATATATGATTAAAAAAACTTAGTCGGTAACTAGATTTATTAGATCATTAACTATTTCCTTATTTATTAATCACCTTGGTAATGACATAGGCACACAAAACAAAAACTAATGCGGTCTAAGTTATTCTGTGTTTGGACATACTAATTATACCATGAAAAATACTCCAGTTATCAAAAACTGCCTATCAAATTCAAAAAACAGCCAAAACTTTGCATTCAGTAGGTGACCTCATGAGAAACCTGTCAATGCTCATATTCGTGGGGTCCATTACATATTTTGGAAAATCATAAAGGCAATCAACCCTTCAACCTTGGGAGAACACCAAGAAACCACCTCTAAACCTAAAAATCACATACAATTCTACATTTGACGAATTCAAGTTACAAACTCGAACCACAACACGACACTACAGACAAATGAGTGAAACTATCTTATATGAATAAATCTTAGATACGAATCTCAGTTCCTAACTACATAGTAGGATTCACTGATTCAATAATGCAGGAACATTTTGAAGACAAAATCAATCCTGTAACCCTGCAGTTCTTGATAGATACAGAACCCTCTGCTTCCCGAAGCTCCGAAATGTGCATTATTAAATTTCTCTTTAAATGGCGACAAAGGAACATATCTCCAAACATGAATCTGAATTTTCTGAAGGCAGTTATGAATAAGTCAATAAAATGCTAAGATTATATTTTTACAGTAATTTTTAGTTATTCTTTACCAGTAGACCGATCAAAATAACTCATTTAGAGGAAAAAAAAAGAAAATTGTTACCTGGACTTTTATAAGTGGAAATGGTAAAGGGGCTTATAATAAACGAAAAAAATAAATAAATGTGGCGGAGGGTTGATTTGAGGGGTTGAAAAGTTATAATTGGGATTTCTGGCGAAAGTTGACGTCAAACAAAAAAGTACCTAATACAAAAGTTGTATATAATGCAAAAATCTACAACTTTTGTAGAAGTTATTTTTTAACAAAACCTCAAAGTTTCCGAGAAAAATGCGAAAAACTGTTTTTTTTCTGATTTTTCGTTTTTTATTTCTCATTTCCGCAAAATTAATTTAATTTTGACGAAACTTGGTGAAAGTATACCTTTCTCTGTCTTAAATAACTTCAATTTTTTTTTGATAAAAAAATCAAGAAGTTTCCGATATATTCATTT